TTCCTAAGTTGGCTAAGTTAAATTTCTTTAACTTAGATTTTCATTATTTCCTAATCTCTTCCTATAATTAAGAAACCTGAACAAATATGGTTACTTCATTATATTCACGTATGAACTAGTTTGATGATTGCACCGAGAATTTTATATTTTAGATTTCAAATTCTCAAGTATATTCATACCTTACTCAAGAACATGTGAATTTAAATTATTTGCTCTCTAGAGACTTTTCTGATTTATATTTGAAATTTATCCATAGCCATTACACAAACTCAATTAAGTCTAAGAAAACTGAGTACGCTTTAAACAAACAGAGCAAATTAATTTAAGAACTTAACCAAAAAAAATTGATTTTAACATAAACTCACAGTACACAAATTAGTTCATACTTGTACTAAAAACATAAATATTGAATTCAAAGACTAAAATATTTATGAACAAATACAGGAGAGAAACCCAATTTGAGCGTTTTACCACTGCATTAGTCTTTTCTTCATTACCCTTGTTGCTCGCTTAGTTTTCCCAATGGCTTCTCCAAAAAGCCCCCCTTAATTCCCTAGCATAACTCCCAAATTGCCTACTCTTTCACCCATCCCAAAATTGTTTAAAAGTGAAACCAGCCATCTTCGTAGCACTACAATGCTTCCTTCTTGATTGAATTGTTTAAATAAGTACATTAAAGCATAAACCCAAAGTCTAATTTTGAATGCTATTCTTCAAAATCTTAATTTTTCTCATTCTTGAAACCTATTTTGTTCCTCGCTCCACAGTTTCATATATATGAATTACAAATGCAAAACAATTAAGTTTTATGATAGTAAGCATCTAATTTTATAAATTTTACTTGAAAATAATACTAAATTACTAATCTACTTATTCAACAAAACTCATTTCTCAATAAAAAATCTTCAAGTAATTATTTTCACCACTATTTATGGTTTCAATGTCATTATTGACTGAGTTCATAAAGATAAACCACTTATCTTTAATCAATGTTAATTATTTGTGGATTGTTTTTCATGACTTCAATTCCATCTTACTAGATGTTAGCTATGATGATCTTCCCTTTTCTGATCATTTGTTGACCTGGGTCCAACAAAAATCATATCAGTGGAAAGCTGAGAAGTTCGACGCCTCTCTATGGTGGACCGGCCGGTTACTTCACAAAATCATGGAAAATTTTGACTGGGGATATCATTGGAAACCCCTTCATTAGTTTTCTTCCCTTCCTATTTTATGTTTCTTTTTTTTTATTTCAGAATTATTTCAATTCCTAATTTAAACTAGATATTTGATAAGTAAATTAGGAGGCATTGATTTCTCTCTATATATATATGCAACCTATATGTAAATAATAATTAGGAGGCATTGATTTCTCTATATATATATGCAACCTATATGTAAATAATAAGATCAAAGATTTTTTTCCTTCCAAACTTGTTTTCCACAATATAAAACTCATTGCTTGCAAACTTGATCGATGTATTACCAATAGTCAATGGATTCATGCTTCGCTAATTCCCATAACACATTTCAATTGAAGCTCTTCTTTGAACATGCCTACATCTAAAGAGGCCTGCCATTAAGTTTAGGAACTATTGGATTGTGTACAATGACTTTTATAAGGTTTTCCTTAGTGCTTGCGCTGCTCCTATCCATGGTGATCCTATTTTCGATCTTTTCAATAAGTTCAAAGCTATGAAAATTTGTTGTTAAGCTCCAAAGAACTAATCTTTACTCCATATCTCAGGGCAACATAATTTAAGCCACTGATTTGAATTCATCAACTTTATCCTTGAGGCTGACCGCATTTAATAATGATGTTAATCTTTTAGAAAAATGTTAAATATCAAAGTAAATTTTCTCACTAGCTTTAATCTTCTTGGGAACGTAGGTGTGCTAAATCCTATTGGCTGATCATGAGTGTGAATAATATTTTTCTATATGAGAATCAACAATCATCGCAGCTTTAATATTATTAAGTCCCTTGAATATGAATTGGGTTGCATTTCTTCTCCCGTAATTCTTTGTTTTTCCAATAATGGTATACTTATAAAATAGATTAAAACAAACCTTCACCACCTTGATTGTTAAAACTTTAAACTCCTCTTTTCATTACTCACTGCCAACCTATGTCCCATTTATCATGTTTCATGCTCATGGGCTTTCATTTAACTCATCGACATCCTATGTCCCATTTATCATGTTTCATGCTCACGGGCTTTCATTTTAAGCAAATTAATTTATGAAAGGATTCTAATTGCCACTGAACTTATTAGAGGACTTCATACAGGAAACTCTTCTTATATGCAAAAACAAATATCAGAAAAAATTCCGATCATTTGTATAAATGTAATCTTCTGATAAAGATAGCTCGGAAAATTTTTTTATCAATGTTCATCAAGTGCATTAAAAATTCCATTACTCCATTAATATCAATGGCACTCTTGAAAGATTCTTCCCTTATTCCAAGGGCTTCAGAAAAAAGTTGTCAATTTTACGCTTTTACAGTTATCATTATTATGGATGAGAAATACTTTTTACTTGATCACGCTTGCATTAAGAGCTAATTTACAAGTATTAATCGATCAGCTCCTAAAATCTCCCATTTGCTTTTTCACAGGTGAGGACCTTTGAAAGAAGCTACATGTACTAATATTAATCCCTTTCTTCCATTCTTATACCTTGGGCTTGCTCATGACTAGCAAAATCCAAAATATCTTATTAGGTAGCGTAAATATTACCAAGCTAATATATTTTTTTATTCCCCAGAAACAACACTGCTATCACCTACCATGGCCTTTCCTTTTCAATCATTGATCTCAATGTTTTTGCTTGTCAGCTACCTAAAAATCCATATAGAAGATTTTAACTTATTAATAAGACTTTCCTTGCCATGTTCAATTTTTAGACCCAAGCTTTCTCAATTCCCAAAGCTATTCTGCACAAAATCAACTTTATCTATTGAAACTTTCTCTTATATGGTGGTGATGCGGGGCTTGAGGCTGAACGGGGCCCAACCGGTTGAGCAGAAGAAGGTTTGGTCCAACAAGAGGTTGGACCGGCCCCTCCTCCCTCTTTTCATTGGGCGGAAATTATTCCCAGCTTCCTATTTTCGTTTCCCGCCTACTCTTCTATTTATATGTGTTTTTATGACTTACGGTTTAGCTTATGTTATTTTTTAATTTCAGTTTGTGAGAACAACCACCACCATAAAATTATGTCCTTTTTTATGTTTTTCGTTGTTTATTTTCTATTTTTGAAGAGTCTTCGTTGTGAGCTCTGAATTTCAGCAATAAGATTCCTATTTTAGTTGTGGTTTGGGTTAACTCTGGTATCAGGCGGTCCTCATAAAAAGATATATCATTTACAGCCAAAGGGTCAATAGGATAATTCAATAGCAGAAAATAATTATCTAACACTTCTTACCAGGATGCCCTATGCTGCTATGGCTCTTCCTCATGGAAATTAGTCATCAAAGTCCATCAGAATATCCAAAGATTAGCTAAATATTATGTCAAAGACGGCATGTATCATAGTTTATGTTATGATCCTTGGATTAATGCTGGTAGCATTTTGTATACAGTACATGTGGAAATTTCCATTAATCATCTTAGTACACATACAACAGTGATTGTTTCATCTGTGTTTACTCATGAAACCTGACTTATCCTTGAAGTCATTTCTTTCAAGCCTGGACCTTGTTGAGAACTTTGAAAACCTATCAATTTTCCTGAAAAATATGAATTTATTCCCTAGGAAGATCAACTTAAATTCTCTTTCTCCTCTGTTATTCAAGCTCTTCACCTAAATACTGCCTTGGTATCTTGGATTAATTTTATTCAGATTTAAAGTGTATAAAATCTTTATATGGATAACCATGCCACAAACTAAAAAGGTTATCCTGTTCATAAGAGGTATTAACTACTACAACTTTTGCTCCGCATGCAATTTTGGTCATACAATCTTGATCACATTTGTTTAGATATGTCATTTCTAATAATGATGAATCATCTCTTTATAAAACTGCTCTCTACCTATGCTTATCGATCACTTGATGTCGTAAAAAGTTTCCAATGATTTCAAATTCATTACTGAACAGTTAAACTGTACAACCCCTACTCCTTTTTTAAGATTATTGTAGTAATATTATGTAATAAGGTCACTTGCTTGAATAAAGCACCTATGGGCTAAGCAATCCAATACTATTCTAGCTAAACTTAGCAATTTGCCTCTCCCAGCTGGTGATGAAATTGTGTGGCCTATGTTTTGTTCAACAATTTTTCTTATTATATTGCCAAATTTCTTCTCTATTTTATGGCATTATTGTAGGTTCGCCTGCTTAGATTGGTCCCCTAATAGTGCGACTGCTTTATTGATTCTATATTAGTTATTATGATCTCAAAATGTACACTTTAGGTTGTAAGGCTTTGCAACATTCCTACTTAGTACTCTAAATCTTTTTCTTTTTCTTTTGGCTGAAACCTTGATTGTCTCTCAGCATATTGCCTCAAAGTATTACTTTCTGGTTTCTATCAATCACACGCTACAAGTAGGGTTGCAAATGAACTGAGCATTCAACAAGCTACTCGTGGCTTAGCTTGATTAAAGCTAGTTCATGATATTTTGATTAATTAATTGAACAAACTTGAAAATTTTCATTAATACTCGATTACTAAATGAACAAGCTTGAACAACTTATTGTTTGATTCATTCATATTCATAAAAAATATCATTTAAAGCTCATGAACAAACTCAAATGCAATTTGATTACAGCTCATTCATGAACAATATCATTTAAGTATTTATTTTTAGGCTTAAAGAGTATTATTTGATGCGTTCCATTTATTTTTCTCAACAAGTTGCTCGTATAAAGTGTAAGGCTCAATTAAAACTCGATTAATGCTCAATTAGGGCACATTTATTTTGCTCAGCAAGTTGCTTGTTAATAAACTCGATAAGACCATATATGAACCGAGCTCTGATCAGCTCTAGCCGAGCTCAAATAAGGTACCTCTAAACAAGCTAGAGCTCAAACAAAGTCTTAAAAGCTCAAATTGAGCTCAAGCGAAGCTCTTAATAAACGAGCTTTAGCACAAATAGGCACCTACGTGGCATAGCTCGGTTCATTTGCAGCCCTAACTACAAACAACGCCCATTCCAACTTCTGCTACATCACAGTTGTGCCCCAAACGAGGCTTGTTGCCAACTCCTACCTTCTAGTTATATTTGATTTTTGTTGATGCTAGTTGGGATGTCCGTTTAATCACAATGGTATTCCAATGGGAGCCATTGTTATTGACTATGTATGGTGAGTATGTTCTGAGGCATATGCTAATAGTTCTTTTGTTCTTTTGATTTAGAACCGGTTCCTCATGGGATGCCTTCTTTGATCCAGAGAAGTCTGCTAAATTTCATATTTTTCTTGCTTAGGCTTAATTGGGACCCTTTGGCTGAGATTTTGTTTAGGCCGTCCCTGCTCATTCTTTTATATTTCAAATCTACGGGCAATTTCTCTCAATTAACCTGATCCCCAACACAGGATGGATGTTATCACTTTTGAAAGAAAGCCAGAGAATTCGCTCCACTCTTTTAGAATTTCTCAAAGTGGTAAACACAAGCCCAACCGCATCATTCTCGCGGATAAATTACTGCTTAAAAATGCGGTCACTTTACTATAAAGCAAGGAGCAAGCGTACATGCAGGGTAAAGCAATTTGTAGTGCAATTTTCATGTCGAATTTGTGAGTTACACGTCTAAAATTACAAAAGGTATCGCACAGAAGATACGTACCTAAGGAGCAAGAACCTTCACAAAGCTATCAGTGAGCTTAAGACGAGTACAGAATCCAAAAAACGCTGGAACTACATAACTTTTTCAGAACTGGATTGAAATCTCGCAACAAGCATGAAAAAAATAAAAACCTACATAACAAATCATAGAAACCCCAGCAAGAATGCAAAAAAATACCAGAGCCATCCATTTTCGATCAATTCTTCAACAGAGAAGCAAAGGATAACGAAACGAATTTTCTGATATTTAAAAAAAATAATAAATAAATAAATAAAACAGTAGCATCTTACCAATGATATTAGAAGAATGGGAGAAAATGGGGCCAAGGATTCTAAGGTCCCGGGTAGGGATGGAAGCCCGCCTTATAATAGCGTTCTTATCAAGCTCCGTTACTTCCGATTTCCCCGTGCGATCCAATTGCATCCAGAGCCGAGAACCCGCCTTCTTCTTCGCCCCTTTAACCCCCGGCGTCACAATCGCCGCCTCCCCCGGCGAAACTGCCATCAACGGCTGCAGCTCCGATCGCCGGGCCGATCCAAACTTCCTTAAAAAGAACGACGATGCATTCTTCTTCCCTCCTCGCTTTCCCATGTCTTATCATGAGACAAACCCTAGCCGAGGTTATCAAAGTCGATATCATCGACCGGTAGGTGGAAGTGAGGAGAAGGAGAACGAAGAAGAATTCCCTTCTTCTTCTCTCCCCTCCTTTTTCCTCTCTCTCCTCTCTCCCTCTCTGGCTATCGTTCGATCAGACAGGTACAGATTCGAGATGAAATCATCGGAGGAGGCTGAAGGAGTGAGCAATGGCGGCGACTCCGTGTCCCCTCCCTCCTGTAAAACGCTATAACGGGTAATTCACCGCCCCTCCCGCAACCGAAAATTTATACTTTTTTACAGTTCCAACCTAGGATCGGGTGGGCCTTTTGGTCAGCCAAAGTTGCTTTTTGTAAATTTAAAAATATTTTTGCTAATTATATATTTATATAT